GTTCTCTCAGCCAGGTAGAACAGTGAGCCTGGTTCTGGCAGTCCTGGACCCATCTGGGACAGGGGGAGGGAGCCTATATTGGTCCTTTCTCTCTTTCTGCTCACACCTTGGTCTATGGCCCCCATTCCCAGTCCAGCCTCCTTCTTCCCACTTGCCTCCTCTACAGACTCCTCCCTTCCCAAGAGGTCTTGGGTGACACAGGCTGGGTATCAAAATGGAGGAAGGGATTTGGGATAATGAACTGTATGCTCTTTGAACCCTCTTGGACAGTGTGTGCTGAGGATAGCTGTGGTTTTAGATCACTGTGGGCTGTACACAGTTGTGTACATGCACACAACACATAAGCACCCCAACTCAGCCTCTGGCAACACATAGATTCATGCAGAGATTCATGCATTTAACTTACACAACAAATGCTTCCTAAGCACCTGAGTGACACTGAAATTCTTCTGGGGTTGCCCACGTAACAGCACATGCACACATGTTTAAAAACTGGCTCACACCTACTAGCACACAGAGAGCACACACGCTAATTCAGACAGCACATACACACTCAGAAATGCATACATGCTCTGGAGCCTCTACCCTATCAATACATATGAACATTTACAACTGTGAACACAGACCCTGATGAACTCACACTCCACTGACATGCCACAAATCTACCTTAGATGATACCCTTCTGCAAGAAGGTGTAAATATAGATGTGTTGCCATGAGAGCTCGCACATACATGCAGGTACACTCATATACACACCTCCCTAAGAACACATGTATGTACACATGACAAGACAATGCCAACACTCCACTGTTTTAGGCCTGTGTGGGCCTAAAACCAGGCAGAAATGCCCACTGAGGCCAGAGACTCAGGTATAAATAAAAGAGAAAAAGGACATGGTAGAGTTCCTTCCTCCTCAGGCCATGACCAAACGTCAAGGTCAACTGTCACAACTTAATTCCACAGTAGCAACGAGGGTCTTAAAAGCCTGTAAGCAGCCATCTAAGGTGAAACTATTATTGGTTTCTTCATGTCCAGAACAAAGAAGAGAGAAGAAAAGACAAGACATATAGAAACAATTAACCTGAAGGACTAATGGGCCACTGGAACCTCTACAACAGCAACACACGGTGAACAGTAACACTGAGAGGTACTTACTCCTTAGAATAACCAACTATAAAACGTCAAAAGAGCAGCACTTGCCCAAGGATAAATCTTAGAAGGCAGGAAGGGATAGGATAGAAGGAGTAATGGACATGAGAATTAGAGAGCATAAAAGTGGGAAGAATATGATTATATTGTGTGTATTGCCAACTAACTGTAAAATAAAATGTATCTGAATGATTGAATGGAATAAAAATTTATTTGTAAGCCTTCATTCAAATCAAAAAGAAAAAAAAAAAAAAGACCCCAGAGTTCCCACAATGGAGAAAACAAGCTCTTCCATCACCAGAGGGAATAAGCTGGGGCAGCAGGCGGGTCTCATGAGGATAAAGAGGGGCAGGCCAGGATGTAGGGTTTCCTGGCATGCACTCTGGAGCATGGGGTCCCCCACTGCTTCACCACCAGGCTGGCCTTCATCTGTTACATATACATGAGGCTCCGTCTGCCCTGAGTTTTTCTTTGTACACCCTGAGGGTCCAGGGTGCTAGGGCTACTGACATCCCTTGCAGGGATAACTTTGCATCATTTTTTTCAGCAGGAAATTATTTTTAGGTTATTTGGTTACAAGACCTACTCCTGCCCATGGGGACCTTCCCTTTCCTGGAGGCCTGAAGTTTGGACTAAGACACTGAGAGTAGGGACTAATACCCTGTGATTCAGGGTATGCAGATGTTAATATCAGAACCATAGAGGGCTGTGGGGAGCACTGCACCCACCATTCATTTATCTGACAGGCAAGCAGACCCAGAGAGGCCTCTCCTAACTGGATTCCCTGATTCCTAAGCAAAAATCCTAGAATGACCTTGGTGGCATAAATGTGTAAGCATTCAGCTACTCACAGTAAGGTTGGTGGTTCAAATCCACTCAGATGTACCTGGGAAGAAAACCCAAGCAATATGTCTCCTAAATGTCACAGAAGACCCTGCATTCAGTTCTACTGTGAAGCACATGGGATTGCCATGAGCCAAAAATGACTTGGTGGCCACTAGTTTGATCCTTTCAGTTTTAAGCAGAAATTGAGGTTTCTCATTCCCACTAGGGATTCTGCCTCCACAGGCAGAGAGAGCTTTCTAAGGACAGGACTCTGTCTCTTCCCACTGCTCACCCACTCTGAACTCTCAGAGACACAAAGACACACACACACACACACACACACACACACACACACACACACACGACTCCACTCTGAACTCCTACAGACACAAAGACACACACATTTTCCATAGAGGGAGTGTTGATGAAAATGTCATATATTCCTGTGTGCAGAAGAATAGCCACTAGAGGGTGCAGTGGCACCAGGAAACACAAAACTAGGAAGTTGTGAGCTGAAGATACACCACAGCCCTGAACTGTTACTGAACATTCTGACCAAAGATTCTACAGAAGATGGATTGACACAATGGGCTTATGCATAGCTGTGGCTGTGAGGAGGCAAGAGGATCTTCTAGGGTTTGTTTCTGTTGTACACCAGGGTCACTGAGTCAGAGCATTTAACAATATAAAAGGTCTGCCTTAAGCATATGCTCTTTCCAGCACAAACTATATGGGACAAAACTGACAACAGCAACTGGAAAGATTAGATAGGTACCTTATAGGGCAGTTGTTTATGTTAATACAGGAGGAACAACTCAGAAAAGAGGATGAGAATGGTTACAACTAAGAACATCGTCAATGTCACTAATTGTACATGTGGAAACAGCTGAAGAATTGGGCATGTTTTGTTGTGTATGTTTTGTTGTATTCTACAACAAAAAAATTAACACCATGTGAGCTCCATAAGCTTGCACTTGGTATTGATCCAATTAATGCTTTTCCCCTTTCTCAGAATCTCCGTTTCTCTGCTTGAAAACAGGATGCAAATCTGTGGGAAGATTTGCTGTGGGGATTGAATGAGATCATGTAATAAGCAAAGCACCAGCACACAGCCCAATAATAACAGAGACATGGGGCCTCTCTCTGCACATCTTTGTCTCTTCCAAGAAGCCTTAAGACATGAGCCTGACTTAGCCCAGGTGCTCTAACAAATTCCCACGTCATCCCTGGAATAAGTGGAATTGTGTTCTCCAAAAGGTTACGTCCAAGCCCCAAGCCCTGGTACCTGTGATTATGAACTTATATGGAAACGTTGGAAATTAAAGGTCTATGCAGTGTAATGAAGCTCCAGATCTTGAAATGAGATCATTCTGAATTTGAAAAATTCCATGAAACCTGTGAGAGTCAGAACTCAACAGGACTCCCTTGCTTTTTCTGAATCGAGTTAAGATTCCTGCCTTTGATATGATGTGCCATCAGCACTTCTCTCATTTTGGTGGGAAATGCTTGAGTTTTCCTTCTCTGATAGGTTTCTCCTTACAGAGGGTCAGATTTTTGTAGATTTTATTGTAACGGCTTCTATTTAGTGTACTCAGACTCCTGGAAACCCTGTGTGTGTCAAGCAGAACTGCACCCACAAGGTTTTGCCTTGGAAGTCAACTGCCAGGCCTTTTTTCTGACACATCTTTGGGTAGACTTGAGGCTCCAATCTTTTGATTAGCAGCCAAGTGTGTTTTGGGGGATGAGGAGGAAAACTTTAAGCCTGATGACTGCTGTCCTGGTAGGTGAAAGAACAGGGAGAGTGAAGGGGCTGTGAAGATGGAGGCAGAGACAAAGGTAATCTATCCATGAGCCAAGAACTCCAGGAGCCATGAGAGAGACAAGGTAAGACTCCAGAGCCTTCAGAAATACAGCCTTGCCGGGACCCTGTTTTGGATTCTGGCTCGCAGAACTATGAGAAAATAACTTTCTGTTGTCTTCAGCCACTAATTTTGAGATAGTCACCACAGCTCGAAACCACTTCCTCCAGCAGGGCACTCAGCAAACGCAGGGAGGGAGCACCTATGTGGAGAATGGAATGTCAACAGAACTAGGAGGAGACTCCTGAAAATAATACCAAGGAGCCAAAGAGACAAACAGCTGAGGCAAAAATGGGCAAGTAGGATGATGCCCCAGAAGGGTCCTCAGGACTCAGGCATGTGCTAAGAGGATATAAAAGAGGAACTTGGTCACAGCACAAGCACAGGCCCTGGGAAGTCCTGCTCTTCCTACTTCCACCCCCGTTCCCTGACTCCAGGATGTGTCCTGGGTCCCCAAAGCACCTCACATGGGACTCCAGATCACTAACCCAGGGAAGTTCTGCTCTCCGCCTATCCCACTTGTCTTACCTCTACCCCTGTTCCCTGACTCCAAGATGTTTCCTGGGTCTCCACAGCATCTCACACTGAACTCCAAATCTCCCCTCAAGCCCACGTCTGACCTCAGGTCCCATTTTAGCAACAGAACCATTGTCCATCCAAGACAGTGGCCTGGAGGCTGTCCTGACTCCCCTTCCTCTCCACCCAGACCCAGGAGTTTCCACGTCCTGTCCAATCCAGTGCCAAAATCTTGCTCTGCACTGCAGAATTCTCTACAGTCTTGTTAGCAGAGCCTGAGCAGGGGCCTTTCATCTGGCCCTGCAACCCAGCCCTCTCACTGGTCTCACTGTATTGACCCTAACCAGGAGCCATAGTCATCGTCAGATGACTCAGTGAGCCCTCAGATTTCATCCCATCATTCTGCTTAAAACCCTGTTAGCTCCCAGCCTGGCCTTCACTGCACATCCTGTAGCCCCTCCAAACCTAAACTGCACTCACTCACCAGTTCAGCCCCACTGTCTGCTCAGAACACCCAACACAGCTTCCCAACTAAGCCTTACGTGTGCTGTTTTCACCACCTATTCCACCCAGTACAAAAGCCACAGACTCCCCATCAACCCTCCAGGATCTTCTGCCTGTGCTACCTCACTCCAGATGGCATCTACTTACCTCACCAGTATACGTGGGGGTCCTGTGCGAGGGGGCACAGGCGGCACGCTCAGATCTGCCAAATGTCGTTTGGCGGGCAATGGAGGCAGCACAGGGTCCGGGGCAGTTGTGGACGGGGTGGAGAAGCAGGAAGGTGGATGACAGCTCCTCCGAGGTGGGATGGGGGGTGCAGGGGGCAGCCTTTCATCCTCCACACCAGTGGGAAGTGGTTCAGATGGAGTAGATGTAGGTGGTGAGCGGAAGACGTGGCGTTTCATGGGCACTGGCCGTGGGGTGGGGCGAGGTGCAGGGGCTGGGGGTGCATGGGCCCGGAGCAGGCCAGCCAGGATGCGGCGCCGATGGCCAGGGAGCTGCACGCCCATGTCCAACAGGCGGGCATCACTGAGGCCTTGGCACTCGGAAGCCCACAGCAGTCCGTGCTGCTCAAAGAGACCGCTGTACTGCTCCAGATGCAGTGCTCGCAGCCACTCGGCCACTGACAGCAAAGCATCCACCTCTGCCATGGTCCCACAGGCAGAGGCCGAGTCACGGGGCTCTGTCCAGACCTAGAACAGAGAGACAGGCATAAGGTCAGAAGCTCAGCTGCCCAATGTAGTGCCTCTGTAACTTGGCCACACCAAACAAATTCTGTCTCTCAGCTTCCTTCCCTGGACCCCACAAACCAGGCACAGCCAGCTCTCTGAACACATGAGTCCAGAAACCTGACTCAGGGCCTCCAGTCCACATTTCTTCTCTCAGAAGCCTCTCATGCTATCTAGGTCCTGGAAGCTTCTCACTGCACTAAGGGTGAGAGGCTGGGGTCCAGTTCCCTGACTTCCCCCATATCCTCTCTAAGCCCAGGCCCAGGGACTGAGGGAGCAGGTGTGACTGGCACTAGTGCTGGTCCCTCTACATGTCCAGTCTAGGGGCTGAGCCCTGCCCCACCTCCATGATGGGAAGGAAGCAGAATGAATGCTCCATGAGGGGAATGCATTCAGCATCATGCAGCCTTGGGGGTCCTGACCTGGGTGAATAACCTCTCCCATCGCCAAGAGGGACCGAGGGGTCAATGTAAATGAAAGACCACTCAACTGCCCACTCAAAATAGCCTGTGGGAGCAATGAAGACTCCGACTCTATCCCAGCAATCTCACATCTCCTAACCTGGTAGGAGCTAAGAGATAGCACAAAGATGGTGATTATCAAAAACAAAACCCTGACTCACTGCTGCTGAGTCAATTATGACTCAAAGTAACTCTACACGACACAGCTGAATTGCCTCATAGTGTTTAATCCCTATGCTACCAGCCCTCCTTAACTACAGATCCTCTCCAAACATGAAAGAGGTTTCATAAAATTCAACATTCAGCTTTTAACACACACCCATTTACTGACATAGTGATAGCAAAAATTGTGAAGAAAGATATAAATTAACCATTAGCTCTGGTGCCATATTATCTAGAGGAGCTGTGCTGCTAACCCAAAAGGGGGCGCCACTCTTTTGGTTCGAACCCCCAAGGCACTTCTCAGAAGAATGACAGGCAATCTCGTCCTGTTGATTTACAGCCTCTGAAAATCGGCTGGAAAGCCGTTGGTTCTGACTTGACGGCTTAACACAAGTTACTGACGAGTTTTTCTCCAGTCGCACTGCTACAGTCTTCTCCATAAAGTCCAGCTTCTTGAATGATTTGTTCAGCAAACAGATTGAATAGGTATGGAGAAAAGATACAGCCCTGATGCACACCATTCTCAATTTTAAACCATGTGTGTTCCCTTGCTCTGTTCAGACCACCTCTTAGTTTAGGTATAGGTTTGGACAAATATTGCATAGGGCCACTGTTGTAAAACGGGGCATCAGGGTTGAGGGACAACAGAAAAGGAGGGGAGGAATGATGTATATTGCATTAAAACAGATGAAGGAAGAACTGTTTAAAAGGGACATATGAATGGCTATTCTTGTCATTACAGAAGTCCAGAGTGAAGGCTGCATAGTGGGGAGGAGGGATTGCATAACAATGAAGGTGTTATTCTTTTCAAAGAGAAGAGCGAATTGGGGTGAGGGAGGGGTAGGTAGGGAGAAAAGTGCAACAATGAATGACTGGAAACCCTAAGTCTCTCTAAACTTTCGTTAAAATGAGTAAGAAAAAAAATTAATTAATTTTTTAAAAAAAGAAATGCCACACAAGTTCTTCCCTTTAGGTTTTCTGACTCTAGCTTTCTGTATATTTCGTTGTAATACTCTGCTTTGTCTTCCCAACTTGCACTTTAAAATCTGTTCAACTCTTTTACTTTGTAATTTCTTTTTTTTAATTATTATTAAATTTTATTAATTTTAATAAACATTTACAGAGAT